TTTTTTTTTTTTTTAATTCTCTCTTAATTAATTTATATCTTATCTGATGAGCTCAATAAAGAGTAAAGTTATTGTGAGATTGACTTTGGGGCTACTTAATCTTGTAAAAATGATGATATTCATCCTTTTTTTTTTCCTTTGTGACAAAATTAGGACATGAAGCAAAGTGTGTACAAATTATTGCAATTTCTAATAATATATATGTATAATTTATTTTTCTCAATTTAATGTTGGATTAATTAGTTAATTGGAACAGTCGATTAAATAATTCAGTCAATTTAAACATAAAAAAAACATTAACTTGTATAATAAAATATTAAGAATAAAAAAAATGGCAGTTTTAATTTTGGTAATTCAGTATGAGCCATCAAATACCAGCACAAAATGATTGGGCCAAAAGCCCATATTAAATTATGAGTGACCCTCAAAATTTGGACTTAATTGGAAAGTATGCACACGGCCACGTCTATAAAGGCCTGGACTGATTTCAGTGTCAGGGAAAATGAAAATAGGCCCAACAATTAATGGGCCACTCCAGGCATAAAAAATTTGATCATGACATCTTTAAGTTAATGAAAAGTTCAATTGATTTCTTAACAAAGGTAAATCATATTCAAAATGAAGAATAATTAATTATATTCAAGGTGAAGAACAATATTTTTTTTTATTGTTAAATAAATTTGTATTGATCAAAATTGAAAGTCATATAACCGAGGCGGCTTTCAAGAGCATAGTGAGTAACCACAAGTCAATTCCTTACTCGCAAGAACAAAAATAACGAGGATAATGTTCTCCTCCGACCAAGATCTTCCAAGTGCTCAAGCACTTGGCATCAACCATCCCCTAAAATTATCAAAATATTATATTTCAGCGCCTAGGGGTTTTGCCCTAAACAATCAGTCGGTTTCACGCATTCCAAATAAAGTAGACGGTGGCTGCAAGCGCCGCTTTCTTCAATTTGACTCTCCAAGTCGTACGTGAAGAACAATATTACACTAATGAATACTGTAACATTAGGTAATCTTTCACAAGAATTAACAATAGTGCCTCTATTATATCAAACTATTTTCATTCACACACACATATATGACTAAAAATAATATATATTATATCACTAATCACTATGCAACATCTCAAGCACACATTATTATTCCAAAATTAAACTATATCATCAACTTAACAACACTCATGACACAATAAAACTTTCAATAAGAGCAACAATTCTAAAGCCAACACACACTAAAAATTGTTCAACAATATGCTTTATCAAAAGCCAAGTCGAAGCTCCAAATCAAGTTCCTCTTTCTCACATTGACTCGCACTTTTCACATCCCTATTGTTCCCCAACAATATTTTCGGGTCATAACCCGAACCCGAATTCAAATCGCCAAAAAACTTCATCCCGAATGAGGTTATTTTCGTGGCGGGACTTGCAGAAGCCGAAAAACTCTCGGTCGACAAACTTGAGCTAGGTCGGCCGATGAAATCATCATCACGACACGCGAAATTTTGACGATTTCTTTCTTGTTGCTGCTTGTGGGTTTCGTTTGTTGAGACGAGTTTTTTCTTGGTAGTCGCCTTATGATGATGATGATGATGATGATGATGATGATCCCTCGTCGATCGGTGAATATTCATGTGCCCACCTAAAGCTTGCGCCGTGTTGAAACCCCTCTTGCAAAACACACACTCGTATAACCGACCGACTCCTAAGAGATCGTCGTTTTTCGAGCCGTTGGCTTCGAAATGCCGGCTTGTGGATTGTTCTTGGTTGTTTGGTTCCATATTGGAAGCACAAAATTTTGATGCTTTTGAAGGAAAAAATTTGTTCTTTAAAGGCTATATATATGTGAATGGAGTTTTTCTTTAGCTATTTGTAGGGGAAGAGATAGGTTTAATTTTGGGTCAACAAGATAGTCTCATGAGGGGGCCTATATATACTCCAAAGTTAAAAACTAGCTAGTGATCTTATTGTTTATTATTGTTTAACAAAAGTGATTAGATAGAGAGAAGAATAAACAAAAAAAATATATTTGTTTTTATTTTTTTTTCCTCTTAGGATTTTCAAATGTCAATCATTAATTATCCAAATTTATTGTACTTTTAATTTAGTTATATTAAACATGTTTTAACCGAACTGAGTTATTATCTATCGAATCATACACATTCGCACATACCTTTGTAAATACACTGATCGAAAGATTAAACACTCATATGAACAATGCTCACACGCGTTATAATAACAATAATAATAATAATAATAATAATAATAATAATAATAATAATAATAATAATAATAATAATAATAATAATAATAATAATAATAATATAGTTTATTTGTTGCTTTATATATATATATATCACTTACATCACTTGATCTTATTCTCATCCAATTCACACCAAATTAGCAATAATTACGGTTTAATTACAAAAATACATACGTGGGTTTTTAGTTTTTTTCTTTTTGTTCGTTAAGTAGAGAACAATGTGATATAATTAAGAACTCATCTCACCTAATTCACTGGTCCGTTTTACACTATAATAACATTATCACTAATGTGTGACACTTTTTATAAATAAATAAATAAATAAATAAAAGTTTTTATTGCAAATAATATTATATTTTCATTCTTTTCTTGACAGGGTGTATTAGCTAAAATAATTTAATAATCACATATGACGACACCATATAACAATACAATTAAATGATTTTGATTTCGATATTGATTGAAGTGGTTAAAACCATGGTAAATGTCATGGATAATACTCACATTCATTTTATATATATATATATATAGAACTACGGAGCCATTCCGTCGGGATTTGTAACCATTAGATCAATTATCTTTGACGGTTAAATGATAATTTAACGGTTACAAATCCTGACAGAATGGTTCCGTAACGGGACATAGCATTTCCCTATATGTAATATTGTTTGTTCTCTTTGTTAGTTAAGAGCACTATTATAAAGATATAGTTTTATTGATTAGCCCATAGAGGTAGTTGAGAAAGAATATCATGAGGCAAAATAAAAAGCCCTTTATCTCGTAATTTGATGTGTGTGGTTGAAATAATATTGAATGTTGTGATTTGTGACTGAGTGCATTGTGATGTGAGAAAAGGGGTATAAGGATTTTGACATGGTCTTCATTACATAGGAATTTGTTAGGGAAAAATGGTGGCCTATTTATCCCTTTTCCTTTTTTATTATCTTTTTTTTTTCCTATTATTATTATTATTATTATTATTATTATTATTATTATTATTATTATTATTGTGTGTGTGTGTCAGTGTGTGTGTGTGTGTGTGTGTGTGGTGGATAGTGGAAAGATTGGTATGTAAGATAACAACGTAACTGATGTTAACCACTACTTACTTCTACCAAAACATAACCCATCATTTTCTCATGTATTATATATATGTGCATGGATGATTATTAAAAAGAAAATCATGTAACAAAACCAAAAAAAAAATAAAAATAAAAAAATAAAGACATTTAATTTTTCTCATTTGCTCTCATGTTATTTGTCCTCTAGTCCATGTGAAACATTCCATGCAATTTTTAACATGAGAAAAAAAGGGCCGAGTCTAAGATTTCAAGGGTCACTCTCCTAACCTAGCTATTATATATCATATTATTACACACAGTTTTGCTATGGAGTCATCGGATGACTCGACTTATCGAGACATCTACAGTTGTTCACAAATAGTGTATTGGCACGTGTTCTACAATAAATACACTTTGGACATGTTTCAATACATTAAGTGATTAATGGCTCAATCAAAAAATCATCTGATGCCTCCAAAGAATTATTGAATATACAACTAATGGCAATGATTTTAAAATCGGTACAACCTTTTTCCTAATGATTATAAAACCAAAAGTGGCAAAGAGTAGTATAAGGGGACTACTAGTTTTTTTTTTTTTTTGGTAAGGCTAATACCTCTAGAGTTTAGTCACCCACATTACGTGATTATGACACGCCAATCACATCGTGGTACAGCCACTATTGAACCCCAACGGGAGGCGCGCTAAAATACTGAAATCTCACCAAACTCTCCGCATCGAAGGAAGCCATGAAGTCAACTGCGAAGGGGACTACTAGTTAATACTCCGTATGAATCACGCAAATTATTTTTGACTAATTTTTTGCCTTTTTTTTTATGGGTAATAATTTTGCCTTTGTATATGGAAAGAGTCAAAGAGGTGAGATCTCTCACGTGTCAAAGAAGAATTGAACACGAGGATAATAATCAAAATGGAATTAAAATGGAAGATAACATGCAGACCTCCGAAACTAAATTGGTATCAGTGGGCCGCTTCTACCCTCAATTGTTGTTTACAGGTCCAACATTACGATGGGCTAACCTTACTGATATCAGACACTTCGGCCCAATTATTTTAACGTCCCTTAATTTTAACATAATGGTACATTATGTTGAAAATAAGCAGTTTCATTCTAGATGCTACTGCTAAAAGTTTCTATGTACACGTTTGTGAGACAAATATCGTTTGTCATAAGTAGTTAACGAACCATAATGTTGAAAAACATTTATACAAAAAATAAATAAAGAAATAAATAACTAATCTAACTATTGCAAGATAACACAACATATTTTGATCAATGCTCATCAGAAAAAGTCGTCGAATGCCCCCTCCCGGTCAGCTTCCCAGTTTTGAGTTCCTGCAAACGAATGCGAGAAAAAAAAAACCATCAACCGAAGGTTTTCGTATAACGAAAAATTGCTTATAATAAACTTTTAGAAGATTGTATCATTTTTTTCGAAATTTTTCAAAATATCCCTTCATATCTGTTTTTCCATCACAGACTGCTTGTGGGGGTATTGACACAACCCAAGAGAAGTACACAAGTTTAAAAGGGTATTTGTAAGTTGTAACTTAAGAAAAATAACTTGAGTTTCTCAAAATCGTGCTAAAGATCATCTCATGAATTCAACATTGATAGCAAGAAAAACATGTAATTTATTTGGAGCAATTTGTCATTTCTGTCAGAGATAACAGGATATTTTTCAAGTGATTAACTAAAAAGCAAGAATCATAACGAACATTGCATCGTATTTTTATCAAGTCGTTTCACAAAAGTGAAAATATCAGTAGATCTAGTGGTGAGAGAGAGAGAGAAAGAGAGATTGACCTGAATTATCAACAGTCGAAAGATCTTGAACTATGAGTTGGAAAGGACCAGGATCGAAAGTAGAAGAGAAATTTGCAGGAGCCGAAGCAGGTGCAGGAAAAGTAAAATCAGAATCAGTTGACGTTGTATCTGAGGATGCGGAGGTGTCATCATCGATCAAATCATCTTTATCAACGAAATTCGAAGCTGAACTTGAATTGGACGAGGCACACAAAATCATCTTGAGCTCCGAAAATTGTCCAGACATGCTGTATATCATCCTGAGGCACACTAAGATATATCTATCATTAATAGTTAAAAGTAGCACAAAATAATCTTCATAATCTTATTAGTAGGGATGAAAACGATCGGAAACGATCGGCATAGGGCTCAACCATTTCCACTTTCATATTTTTTTCTCGAAAACAAAAATGATATGATAATGTCGGAAACGAAAACGACATTGGTATTCCAGTAATATCGAAAACGAAACTATCCGATCGAAAATACATCGATAACGATCGAAATATATTAAAACGGTATTTAAAAAATGATAAACACACCACATTATAAAATATAGCATTAAAACATTAATTGAAATATTCTCATGACATAATAGTAGCAAAATCCAAATTAAAATCCACACCATTTGCTATAACAAAATCCATACAAATTCCAATAACTAGCAATTGAATTGTGACTTGTCCACCAAATTCTCATGGAATAATAGTAGCAATCGAAATTTGAAACATGAAATGGGAGCAATTAGGTGAGAAATCAACCATGGAACCACCAAATCCACAAAAAAACCACAACAAATTTCGAAAATGTGAGCTTTATAATTAAAAGTGAGCCTAGTATGGGTTGGGCCGGTATTACCGACGGTAAAATATCGTTTAAATACGGTAATTTTCGAAAATGATCGGAAAAGGGCTAAACCGTTTTCGTTTTCATTTTCGATTTTTTTTACCGTTTCCATTACCGTTTTTCTGGTTACCGTTTCCGTTTCCGTTTAGCCTCCAAATCCGAAAAAATTTTGAAAACGATTCCCGGTAATCGGAAATTACTGTTTCCGTTTTCATCCCTACTTATTAGCCACTATTCCACTGTTTTCATACTAAATAATAAATATATCAGAAAACAATATTCTGCATGAAAATATTTTTGTAAGGAACAAAAAATAATGAAAAAAGGAAACAACTTTTAAGAATTATGGTACCTGTTCAAAGACTCTTGAAGCTGATGAACTCTCTTTTCGGTTTCTTCCAATTTGTGACGCTTTAATTCTCCTGATTTCAAGGCTTCTGCGTACTGCTTTTCCAAATCATCGCCTCGTTTTCTTTCGCATTGTAACAAGTTCTGTTGTAATTTTAAAAAAAAAAATTGCAGCACTTATTTTCTATTTTCATATACAATCCCAAACCCCATCAAAATCCCCTGACCTGTTAAGCTCATTTACAACTTAAAAATTTTATTTTGTACATCCTCTTTTATGCTTTCCAAAAAGTATTTTTTATGTCCTACTGATAAACAGTAAAGTGTCGGTATTCTAGGCGATTTTTTGACCTGTCCTCCCACTTTTTCGGCTGTTGGCTGTTTCATTCAGCTAGGGGTTGTATATTCGCACATTTGTGCATTTTGATTTATAATATTTTCTATCGTTTCGAAAAAAAGAAAAAAGGATAAACAGTAAAGTGTCTCTAATTGATCCATGAGGCTCGATAGGAATTAGTACCCCTACAATAGCTTAGCATTGAGAGGGAAAAATCAATCTTTCAAATGTTACCTTCAAATTTTTCACTTCAATAGTTAGAGCCGCAATCTTATTGGTATCGTCACCTGCCCCTTGTGTCTCTTTGAAAATCGAGGAGACCTCTTCAATTGATCTCTGGGCTGCCTCGCGTTCTTTACGAAAAAGAGCACTTGCCTCTTCCACTCTACTTTCCAATTCAGCCTGCCACAAGCATTCTCAAATTTCAGTAAAACTGTAGCATATACACATACCACATGTCATCTTTCCTCGAGAAGTTGGTTGAAAAATGTTTGAACAATCAAAAACAGAAAAACTAAAACATGATTCAAGAATATGACGACAATAGTTGAAGCGATATTATTGAGTAAAATCTTGACGTGATGTTATCGACAATTGAAAAATGACAGCGAAGGATTTGCCCTTTTTTTATGGTTAGAAACAAATAACAATAATAATAATAATAATAATAACAACAACAAATACAAGATTCACAAGAAATCACATGCGGGGGCAAACAAAATCACTATAGAAAATTAGACAAGAATTTTTCACAAGCAATCATGGCCAAAACATTAGCTTTCAAGAAGTAGAAAAGCATAGGAAGTTACCCTCAGTTGTCTTTCCAGCTGTAACCGTAACTTCAAGTCTTCTACTTGCTTCTCAGGTGTATTTTCCGGAAGGGCACCTGATTCTCTTGCACACTGCAAATTTCACAGGCAATTATCCAAGATGAAAGAGATTAATGGTTTTTTTCACTTCGTACAGTAAAAATCTATTCCTCCCTACCAATTTGAGTTAAGATAGAAAGAACCATTAATGAACTCATTAGGATTAATAACCATCAGCGTTTGATTGTTATAAAACACATATATCTATCTATAATCTATAATCTATAATCTATATCTATAACTACCTTAAAAGTATGAGTTATTTCTTGAAAATTTTGAATTACCCATACTACCCTCAAAAGATGTTACTTTAAATTATACAAATGTAATTTGTGATTTTACATTAGAAATTGATAATGGTGATTTGTAACTTCTCCAACCACATTTAAATAGAAACTTGAATTGCCAATACTATCCTTAACAAAAATGAAATGTAACTTTTGTTTGAAAGATATAAACGTAATATTATAAATTTAAATTAAAATCACTACAACTACACACCTATTTTCTTTTTTATAATATATGTTGTCTAACTCTTCCATTTCTCTTCATCATATACAATTATTTTTCATGCATATAAAATTTATATTAATCTCATCCTAGCTATTATTCTTCATCATCTACAAATATTAATTTATTTATTACAAGAGTATACGTAGTTCCATTTTAGGGCATCACCTTCTAAAATGTTGGTCCTGTTCAATCACAAATTGATGCAGATAGAATGCCACAAATTTATATGTCATATAAATGTTTTTCAAATGAAATTGTTACTAAATAGTGAGATTATAATTAATTTAAGTCTTATATATAAAAAATAATAAGTATCAAGCCAAATAATAAATATTAGTTTTAATTTGTAATACATGTTATTTAAAATTACCTTCACCGTGGTTTATTTTCATCACTATGTCTTCAAATGTTTACTCCTATCTATCTTGATAGTTATAAAACAAATTACATGTAATGAAGAGTTTATAATTTTCAAATTCTAAAAAATGGAACTATAATTTAGGACTTTCTATCATTCCAGTACAAATTAGTAATTCCAACTTAATGTAATACATATGATTATTTGATATGTGATAGATAATCGTAGTTGTAGTCTATTCAAAATGTATTAATCTTTTAATTAAATGAGGGCATATGAGTTACAAATCATCACTATCAACTCCAATCTAATATATATTTTTAATATTAATTACAACTGAATGGTCATAATGTTCACTATCATCTTCAAATTTTAGTAAAAACCCACTAAAGTATACATCATGTATAACAAGTTAATACATTCATAATCAATTTTTTTTTAAGTAAAATTACAACTTTTATGTAATAAACAATCTACCTATTTTTTTAGCTTGATTAAAATTAAGCAAAATAAATTTAACATGTTTTTTCAATGGATTGAAGTTTATTTTCAAATAACTATCTTAAAAAGGAGACTTGTTTCTTGAAAAAATTGAATTGCCAAAAATGCCATATGCTAAAATTAATTCTAAGGCAAATAATGTAATTTTGCCACAACTTTTAGGGAGTTACAAATATTAATAGTTACAATCA